AGGAGCAGGAGCAGGAGCAGGAGCAGGAGCAGGTGCAGGTGCAGGAGCAGGAGCAGGAGCAGGAGCAGGAGGAGGAGGAGGAGGAGGAGGAGGAGGAGGAGGAGGGCCCGAGGCCGAAGGGCTCGAGGAGGGACTTCGCGGGCCGCTGCGGGCGGCGCTGGGCGGAGCATGCGGCCCTGGGGGGCAGTGGTGCGCCAGCGAGCCTCGCGCGCGCCCGCTTTCGCACACCGTGGAACTCGTGGAGCGCCGCGAGCCTCCCCACGGAGGAGAGGGAGATCCTGCAGGCCATCGCCGCCGCGGCCCGCGCGGGAGTGGCCTCCCAGATCGGCGGCGAGCGAGGGGGGGAGGAGCCCCTTTGTGGGCCCGTTGGGGAGCCTCTTGGAAGCCTCTTGGGGGCCTCTTGAGGGCCTCTTGGGGGCCTCTTGAGCGCCTCTTGTGGGCCTCTTGGGGCCCCTTGGGTCCCCTCGGGGCCGAGGCCTCCCAGATCAGCGGCGAGAGGGAGAAGGCAGTCTCAGAAGGCGGCGGGTCTGGCCTTCTGAGAGGTTGTTCCTCGTCTTGGGGGAAGTTTCATTGAAAACTTCTCAGAAGGCCAGGGGACCTCCGAGCCTTTTCTGAGAAGGCCTTTTCCTTCGCACTTCCCCCCAGGCTCGCCGCCGATCCCAGAGCCCACGGCTGCCCTCGTGGGCCCACGCCGAGCTGACGGAGGCGGGGGTGCCCCAGAGGCCGCCGCACTGGCACCCGCTGGCGCGTCCAGACGCCGGCAGCAGCCGCGACGGCTGGCTGCCTGCCAGCTGGGACGTGGGCTTCAAGCTCACCGCAGGCCGTCGGACCCAGAGATACAACGCACTGAAAAAAATCAGAGGTTTGTCGCAGTGTTCGGCCTCTGGGTGTCCTCGCCGGGCCCCAGGACCGTCAGAAAACGACCAGTTCCAGGGAATGGGTCGAGATTTCTGGGGGTCCCGTTGGAAAAAATGACGACGTCGGATCTCTGGGCGCTCGGGAACGCTCTCACAGCGTCTCCAGAATGCTCTGAGATGGCCGCGGCGCCCGAGACATCCTCCAAAGCCGCCTGGTCTCAGAGATGCTCGATCTATCTTCACCCGAAATGATTTTCGTCCTGGTTTCCTCTTAGGCCGGAAGCTGATGCGGTGCTACGTGCAGCGGGCGCCGGAGGGCCAGCCCGGCCTCGTGAGGTACCACAAGCGCACGGTGCTCGAGGCCGAGCGCGAGGCGCAAGGCCTGCCCGCCCCGGCAGCGAGCAGCCGCGCGCAGCAGAGAGGCGGCCGGCTGCCCCCGAAGGGCGCCGGCGACCCCTAGGGCAAGGATGGCCGGCGGCGCGCCAGAGGGAGGGTAGGGGCGCGTCGAGGGTGGGCGGGTCGAGGATCGAGGCTTCGAGGTTCGAGGATCGAGGCTTTCAGGTTCTAGGGTCGGGGCTTCGAGGTTCAGGGGTCGAGGCTTCGATGATTGGTGAAGCCGTCCCATCCCGTCCGCGTCTATTCAGGCCGTTTCGCTCGCAACAGCTTCGTATCTCGGAAACGTGGGCGCGCACCTCACGCAGATCGCGAGGTCTGGGTCAAACTCACACGCTGGATGCTTCAAAATGCTAGCATGAAGCGTGCAAACACACCACGCGTTTTAGTTTGATTGCGTAACCTTAAGAGGACACCATGGGTTGATCAATGGCTTCCTGTGAATGTCGTCATCGCTGTATGAGAGCACCTTCAAATAACACAGCACAAGTCAGTGATGGTGCAAGCACCTGCTAGAAAGGCATGTGGTTCTCCGGTTCTCAGTGCAGTTCCCCAATTCTTCTCTAACCTCGGTTGGTTCATGCCCACAGCGGAGCTTCTCAACATTTCGCCGAATCGCAAGCAGTGGCAATCCCATCGGTGCCTCCCAGTGCTTTTTGTATGAGCCTGGTCGCGCACGTGCCACCTGCATATGATATGTATGTATATCAGCCAGCTTAGGCCCTAAACACGTTGCGCAATCTGTGTGGGACAACCAATGTATTGTAACCGATGTTGCGCAATCGATGTTGTGCAATAGATGTGGTGCAATCTATGTTGTGCAATCTATGGGATGCAATCCACTCTGCTGAACTTGAAGTCGTCATCTCCACTGCTCGCGCAAACATCCCACCCACCCACCCGCAACTTGGTTTGCAAAACCTCTTGAGACCGTCTACGACGACACCGACGACAACGACTACGACGACACCGACGACGACTTCGACGACTTCGACGACGACAACGACGCCGACGACGACGCAGACGACGACGACGACGACGCCAACGAAGGCGACGACGAGGGAGGAGGAAGGACGACGACGGCGACAACGACGACAACGACGACAACGACGAGGGAGGAGGGAGGACTGCGACGACGCGAACGACGAAGAAGGAGGAAGGACGGCGACGCCGACGACGACAACGACGAGGGAGGAGGGAAGACGAAGACGACAACGAGGACGACGACGACGGCGACGAAATAGGAGGGACGACGACGAGACGCCGACGACGGACGACGACGACGACGACGAGGGAGGAGGAGGAAGGACGACCACGGCGACAACGACGACGGAAACGACCACGACGCCAAAGATGACGACGACGACGAACACGAGGAAAGACAGAGGACGACGTAGGCGACGACGACGACGACGCGGGAGGAGGGAGGACGGCGACGACGACGACGACGACGACGACGCAAGAGCGCGCGCGCACGCTTTTGTTGAAAATCCGTGTTGCGAAACCTTTGGTTTTTGTAGGTTTTTTGGATACACGATTTTGAAATCATTCCGAAACCGATGGGTTTTGAAGGATTTCGGCGTACGCGCGCGACGACGCGCGCGTCTGCACTTCGTCGAAGCTTTTGCAGAGGATTCTCGCGACGGCACACGCGCAAGGGCGTTCGACAGATTTCGACATGCGCACGCGCGAAGCCCGTTTGGTAGCAGTTTGGGAAAATCTTGAAATACCTATGGGGTCCTTAAGATTTCGCAAGAGCTCGCGCGGAAGCTTTTTTAGCAAATCAGTGTTGCGAAACCCTGTGTTTTTGTATGTCTTTTGGAGACTCGATTGCGGATTCCTTCCGGCACCGAAGGTTTTTGGAGGATTTCGGCATGCGCGCGCGACGGCGCGCGCGTGTGCACTTCGTCCGATTTTCTGCAAGGGATTCGCGAACAAGTGTTATGTTAGAACAAAAAATGTCACCGCATAGCGTTTTTTCTTTAAATAAGGGACCCTCAGGGGGGGGGGGATATTGCCCCCCTGGGGATAGTGTAAATGCATATTTCGGATGGACACGTGGTCAGAATCATATATGATTTACTTACCCGAAAGGGGGACCGATAACGCCGGGGGGGGGGTAGATCCTATTCTGTTTTTAGAAAAGGAGAATTAATTTCTGTTCGCAATGAGTTGTCCACTCCACTGCTCGCGCAAACATCCCACCCACCCACCCGGTTTTTGGTTTGCAAAATCTCTTAAAACCATGACGGTGGGTACCAAATGGCACTTGGCAACGACAGGGACGCCGACAACGACAGCGACAACGACGACGACGACGCCGCCGACAACGACTACGACGACATTGACGACGTCTCCGACGACTTCGACGACGCCGACAACGACGACGACGACGACGACACCCACGACGACGACGCCGACGACGACGACGACGACGATGACAACGACGACGACGATGACGATGCCGACGACGACGACAACGACACCGCCGACGACGACGACGTCAACGACGCCAAACACGACGACGACGACGACGACGACGGCGGCGACGACGACGACGCCGACGTCGACCACGACGAAGGCGAAGACGACGCCGACGACGACGACGACGAAGACGACGACGACGTCGCCAACGAAGACGACGACGAGGCAGGAGGGAGGACGACGACGGCGACAACGACGACAACGACGACAACGACGACAACGACGAGGGAGGAGGGAGGACGGCGACGACGCGAACGACGAAGAAGGAGGAAGGACGGCGACGCTGACGACGACAACGACGAGGGAGGAGGGAAGACGACGACGACGACAACGACGACGACGACGGCGACGAAATAGGAGGGACGACGACGAGACGCCGACGACGGACGACGACGACGACGAGGGAGGAGGAGGAAGGACGACCACGGCGACAACGACGACGGAAACGACCACGACGCCAAAGATGACGATGACGACGAACACGAGGAAAGACAGAGGACGACGTAGGCGACGACGACGACGACGAGGGAGGAGGGAGGACGGCGACGACGACGACGGCGACGACGACGCAAGAGCGCGCGCGCACGCTTTTGTTGAAAATCCGTGTTGCGAAACCTTGTGTTGTTGTAGGTTTTTTGGAGACACGATGTTGAAATCCTTCCGAAGCCGATGGGTTTTGAAGGATTTCGGCGTACGCGCGCGACGACGCGCGCGTCTGCACTTCGTCCAAGTTTTTGCAGAGGATTCTCGCGACGGCACACGCGCAAGGGCGTTCGACAGATTTCGACATGCGCGCGCGCGAAGCCCGTTTGGTAGCATGTGGTGAAAAATATTGCGAAACTTGCGGTCTTCTTCACATTTCGCAAGGGCAAATCAGTGTTGCGCAACCCTGTGTGTTTGTATGTTTTTTTAGGGGGGGGAACTCGATTGCGAAACCCTTCCGACACCGAAGGTTGTTGGAGGATTGTGGCATGCGCGCGCGACGGCGCGCGCGTGTGCACTTCGCCCGATTGTTGTGCAAGGGACTCGCGGAAAAAAAGTTTCTTGCTCGAGCAAACGATGTCCCCGCGTACCGTTTTTTACAAGGGAACCTCAGTGGGGGTCGATACCGCCCCCCCCCCCCCCCGGGATAGTGCAAATTCATATTTAGGATGGACATGTGGCCAGAATCATATATGGTTTACATACCCGAAAGGGGTACGGATAACGCCTGGGAGGGGGGGCAGATTCTATTCTCTTGTCAGAAAAGAGAATATATGTGGTGCAACCTCAAGAATGCGATATATGGTGATGCAATATATGCTGAGCGGACTAGGTGCTGTAGTTTATGTGGTGCAGTATAGGTTGTGCAACCGATGTGGTGCAGCCTACGTGGTGCAACCAATCTTGACCGTCTTGAAGCTGTCCTCTCCACTGCTCGTGCAAACATCCCACCCTCCCACCCGCAACTTGGTCGCAACACCTCTTCAGACAAGACCGTGACGGTAGGTACCACATGTCACTTGGCCACGACACCGACGCCGACGACGACAGCGACATCGACGACGACGGCGCCGCCGACACCGACTGCGACGACACCGACGACGTCTCCAATGTTTTCGACGACAACGACGACGACGACACCGACGACGACGACAAAGACGCCGACGACGACGACGAAGACGACGACGACGTCGCCAACGGAGACGACGACGAGGGAGGAGAAGAAACGACGACGGCGACAACGACGACAACGACGATGGAGGAGGAAGGACGGCGACGACGCCAACGACGAAGAAGGAGGAAGGACGGCGACGCCGACGACGACAACGACGAGGGAGGAGGGAAGACGACGACGACGACAACGACGACGAAGACGACGACGACGGCGACGAAATAGGAGGGACGACGACGAGACGCCGACGACGGACGACGACGACGAGGGAGGAGGATAACGACGAGGGAGGAGTGAAGACCACGACGACGACGACGACGACGGCGACGAAATAGGAGGGACAACGACGAGACGCCGACGAAGACAACGAGGGAGGAAGGACGACCACGGCGACAACGACGACGGAAGCGACGACGACGCCAAGACGACGACGACGATGACGACGAGGAAAGACAGAAGACGACGACGGCGACGACGACGACGACGACGAGGGAGGAGGGAGGACGATGACGACGACGACGACGCAAGAGCGCGCGCGCACACTTTTGTTGAAAACCCGTGTTGCGAAACGTTGTGTTTTTGTAGGTTTTTTGGACGCACGATTTCGAAATCCTTCCGAAACCGGAGGTTTTTGAAGGATTTCGGCATATGCCCGCGACGACGCGCGCAGCTGCACTTCGTCCCATTTTTTGCAGAGGATTCTCGCGACGGCACACGCGCAAGGGCGTTCGACAGATTTCGACATGCGCGCGCGCGCAAAGCCCGTTTGGTAGCATTTTGTGAAACTCTTGGAAAACCTATGGTTTTCTTCAGATTTTGCAAGAGTTCGCGCGTAAGCTTTTTTAGCAAATCAGTGTTGCGAAACCATGTGTTTTTGTATGTTTTTTGGAAATTCAATTTTGAAATCTCTCCGGAACCGAAGGTTTTTG